ACACACACACACACACACTATATATATATATATATATATAGATATAAGAGTATATAATATATACACACACACACACACACACACATATATATATATATATATATATATCACGAGTTGTCATCTTGAAACATACATACTGATCTCATAATTAGGCACATACAGTTCAGCGGATGCAAACAGGACATGATATGATGTCAATGATTGGCAACGGCACACGCATATGCAACGCATTGCCCTCGTACTGGCCACCAGCAGACACACATCACATACTACACAGTTTGTAAACCTTAAAAATCTAAACCCTAAACACACACTACACACTTTGTAAATCCTAAAACTAAACCCTAAAACCTTCAGCATATAACATTTGAACAAACTCTATAGCCCTATTCCTGCAGTCAGTTGTAATGACCTGTGCTACCTTCTACATAAAACACGATATTATCTAAACCTTGGAATAATATAATAAACCCAAAACAATATATCTTACCCTAAAACAATGTAATAAAACCGAAAGCCGTATCATAAACCGTAAAACAATATATTAAACCCTGAAAATAGAATAAGCCCTGAAAATAGAATAGATCCTATTGGTGCGAATGGCTATAGGTAGAGCTTACTTGTGTCATCATCTGCATCATCGACTCCTTCAGCCCATGAACAAAGATGTCTTCGCACGCCCTCGCCAGCGCATCAAAGTCTGCATTATCCGCCCTGGAATATGTCAAGCGAAATGTTAAGTAAACCCTATAAGCCCTAAAACCCCAAAAGGAATGTTAAGTGTTATGTTAAGTGTTATGTTAAGTGTTATGTAAAGTGTTATGTTAAGTGTTATATTAAGTGTTATGTTAAATGTTATTTTAAGTGTTATATTAAGTGTTATGTTAAGTGTTATGTTAAGTGTTATGTTAAGTGTTATGTTAAGTGTTATGTTAAGTGTTATATTAAGTGTTATGTTAAATGTTATGTGAAGTGTTATGTTAAATGTTTTGTTAAGTGTTATGTTAAGTGTTATGTTAAGTGTTATGTTAAGCGTTATGTTAAGTGTTATGCCAAGCGTAATGTTAAGTGTTATGTTCCATTCACTCATTGCCATGGTAGCACACACACGTGATCTATTCACCTATTACTATGGTAACACACACACTTGATCTATTCACCTATTGATATGGTAACACACACACATGATCCATACACCCATTGCTATGGTAGCACAAACACGTGATCCAGTCACCTATTGCTATGGTAACATACACTTGATCCATACACCCATTGCTATGGTAACACACATACTTGGTCTCTGCATCCTTGTTTTCCAACATGACCTGCGACAAAGCAGCTGCGGTCTTGGTCACTTGGCTCAAGAGATCTCTGCGTTCCTTCTCCTTTTGTTCAAACATGCGCTCGCGCTCAGCTGCACTGTCTGACAGAACAATAATCAAACAAACATTCCGTACGAGTCTCTTAGATGTAAACAGTAGGCAACAACATTCCATTTGCAAGTACATACACTACTATACTCTATCATGTGTATTATAATATATATATATATATATATATATATAAGATATATATCGATTCAACATTTTCTATATCCTATGTATATCCCTTTCTCTATACTATATGTATATATATATATATGAATACATATATACATATATACATACATACATACATACATAAAC